TTGTGATATCCGGTGGTGCCAATCTACGAATCACTTAGAACCACCTTCTCAAACGAAATTATGCTTTCTTGCTCTGCTGATGTCCGTCACAAGTCGGCAGTTGTTACTCCTAGACGACCTCCTTTATTGGCCTATAGGTCCAACTAAAGGTTTTCTTCCAAATAACTTTTCCTTCGAACTGAAGATTCATTAAGGGAACCTTATAAACTCAGTTTTTTTTCTAGTAACTCATAGCAATAGCAATAATCATACCCCTAAGAGCTGTCAACTTTTGAATACTGAAAGAATGTAGTCCCAGTTACTACTTTTAGCTTTATTTACTTTCTTTCACCCACCTTTCAGATCTTCTCTGCTCGTCAAATCGGTCAAACTCTCAGCAAGGTGGGCGGGTGCATTTCCTCAGTCGATTTGCCTGGTCAGTCGGTACGTGATCTGACCGAACAGGCCGCACAAGTGAGCAGGTAAGATCGGGCAGGGTAAGTCTAGCTCAAGGTTTACACGCAACACATCAATTTGTGGTGGAGAGTGGGAGAAATAAATCTGCCCTTTCTTTGAGACCCGAGTCAGAACCCTGAATGAAGAATGCTATTCAACCGGACTGTCCGGCAACCCTCTCATTAACTTTGTCTCAGCCAGCGAAGATGTAATTGTGATGCCCATTATTATGTACATCTAAACGGAACTATATTTTTGTATGTGTGTGTTTGGCACGATAAAAATCAGGATAGCGGGGTGTGGGATGAAGGCAACTATTATGTAACCGCAATGATGGCCAAATCTTTCCTCCAGACAGTAAATGTGGCGTCAGAGCTGACAAAATAGGTTTTATGCTCGCAGGTGGCGATAGTCTGCCTACTAGTGGGGCTAGCACACAGGTGAATGGTATCAATAGTAATACAGACAAGATCATTTTCCCTTCAGCCTGTCCTACAAGCGAAGACTGCACATGCCCGTTTAGAGCGAGTTGATGGGCTGTCAACGCATTGCATGTCCAGGTCGATGAGCAGGTAAGGGACGGGAGAGCAACCGGTATCAGAGCTTTGCATTGTCGTGACGATGCGACAAATGTGGGTGATGCCATCACTACCCACAAGAGGGGGTAGGGGTACCAACAAGTGGTAGTTTACCGAGGTTGCAGTGTTATGCAATCCATGGGGTGTCTGAGTCTTGGTTTGACCATATAAAGACCGGGTTAGGCGTCGACTGGAGTTGGGCTGTGGGCGGAGTTGACTGGGCAGGGCAGGATTAAAGCTATTACACAGCGAGTCACTTTCTCTTAATTTCGGGAGCCCCTTAAAACCTTCCTCGCATTCCTCGGCACTGAAAGCCAAGTCCAGTTGGCTTCGTCCCAGTTTCCGGTGACGGAATAGGCCCTGAAGGCCAGTCCGACGGTCAATAATCTGGCCATTCTGTCAATCACAAGCTCGGATACGGGGCACATG